GACGATATGCATTAGAAGATGGCACATGAAGAAGAAGCAAGTACCTCTTGCATAGTCTGCATTTTTTATCATACCAAGTGACGAAACAGACAAATTGTGCGCCTGGTGGTGAAAAATCCTATGTGCCTGTAGTTTCACCACCATCATTATGCTTTAAAACCGGAAAGCAGTAATGCTCACGTTACTGCTTGGCTTTGCTTAAAAAAAAGGTGTCAAAATTTTAGATTTGTTATTTATTTTTTAACACAATATACTAGTTTCTACTTAACGTTCATGTTATTGTTATAACACTCTCTAAATTACACTAAAATTAATTTTTCTTTAGTTCGACTAAAGAAAAATTGATTTTAACTCATGTATTTTGTTAAAAAAGTACATAAAACAGTTAGCAATTTTGCCGCACCTTTACTTAGAAAGCCGCACGTGCATGCAGACGGATTTTTTTTTTCTACATAGAAATTGATTGGAACTATACTGTAAGTAACCCACACACGTTACATTTTCGTATATTTTGAGATGAAATTAATTCTCCATACAAAAAAACTATCAACTTTTCAAGAAATTATACAAGAATAAAAGTTGTTAGGTATGTTATTATCTATCATACAAAAAACAATTAGCTCGATACTCCACAAGTTATTCCTATGTCCAAGAATTATCAATTTGGGCCCACTGTGCGGCGCTACGTGAGCGGGGGTTTTAATCTCATGATATCGAAGGAAAAACAAAATATTTACAAATCGAGTTTTTTTTTAAATGTACTTAAATGATATAATCCAAAATTATTAGATATATTAGTTCATTACTTGCTTACATATTTTGCCTTTGTATTGAATCGATTCGCTTGGAAACCACACTGACATTAATCGATACAAAACTCGTTATACGCATCGATTTTCATACCACCCTAGTAGTAAGGGAGAGTTTACAGGATTGCAAGGTGGGTATTGTGCGGAGTTCCCTTTGTTTTGCATCTCAAAATAATTTTTACATCGAAATTTTCGATCAAATTATCGATTAGTTTTCTAGTATATTGTTCTTCTTGTTTAAGTGTAGCACCAACCTATTGTGTTTTTTTTTCTGTTTGGCCCAATGGTTGACTGGTAGAGAATGCCTTATGGCATTAAGTCCGCCATTTGTACTTCAGTGTATTGTACAATAAAGTTTAAATAAATAATAAATTTCCACTAAGTATGGAAATATACCTAATTCCGTATTATTTTACGCCTATAATGTATCCGCCCACGATTTTGGGCAGTAATGGGTTAAAACCCGGTTAAAATCCGAGCGGGTTTATTGAGTTTTAACGCACTGCCTATCTCTGAGTGAGACTGTGGCCAAGCATGCCTTTATTTTCCATAAAAAAGGCAATCTTCGTTCAAGTGAGTTCGCCTTTGAATACTAAAGATTTACAAAATGTACGAGACGCGTAAATATGCGAAGCCTTTAGGTTTTTGTGAATGATTAATGAATAATGTAAACAATATAAACACTGGATTTTTTGTTTCGCGAACCTAAGTATTTGATTTTTCAAACAAACCAAGTTCCGAGCTACTGTACCTCAATCGCAAAAACCTCGAAATCTAAACATTCATTTATAGACCACCAATAGGCTACTTCAGCCTATTTAAATTTTTCTTTAAATGACCTTTAAATAGTCACTAAAAAAATCTACTTTCTGGAAGTGGCAACAAAAGTTTCCGAAAATACGATTGACCTACTGACAAATGCAAAATAAGTTTAAATTTGAAAAAGCGAGATTTTTGTTTAGTGACGAATTGTTAAGTCAACGTGTGTTATAAGACGATATGTACATTAAGGCATAGGTTTAAGTTTAAGATTTTAGATAGGAGATATATTCATGTAAATAAATTTTGAGATATAGCCAATCGCATGACCAATGGCAGCGAAGAATTCGTGTTAGCAAAAAATATCCTTCAACGTCTAAATACAAAAATGATTCTATAAAATCTAAAATCTGACACGACTGTAATACTAAGAACAACACCAAAATTAGATAGAATAATTAAGCAATATTTTAGTAGCTGTATCGCTTCTTATAAAAGAGATTCTGCCGCCAAGCAGTAAGCGGAATGCAGTAATGCTCACATTATCGCTTGGCGGCTGAAATAGGTAAGGTATATCCCTGGACGAACTCTTCCACGAGGAACTCTACTGCTACAGCTACTAAAAAAACTGGGTATTCTTAAGACAAGTTTTTCTTAAGTTTTTCAAGTAGTGTTTTGTGCTATCACAACGTCTCAAAGGTATTTACGTTAAACTGATTTCGATGAATTCTAACACGGTTTACAACCTACAACCTGTCCTTAGAGGAGATACCTAGCAGTGGAACGTACATCCGTTGATTGATTAAAACGATGCATAAATTATGTTGAACAACTTATTATCTCCTGCGTAAATAAAGAAGCCATCGTTCTTCGAAAGATAAATAATTAATGAGGTAGCGAATAGTCAAAAGAATGCAAGATGTTCTTGAAATAAGCATAATCAAACAAATAATTTAAATAAGATTTTTTTTTAAATAAGATACTTTGGCATTTTGAAAACTGGTTTCACGTGTTTTATAGTTTTATAAATATTGCGGCGCAACCCTTGAAAGATCCGTAAATTTCGTAGACAAAGAAATAGCAAACGTCATAGCGGAAGAATTGAAATTTTTAAAGGTTAAACCTTGAATTTTGATTTTGACCACAAGCCTTCGAAATTCCGAATATTTGTTTACAAAGGTTTTTGTAAACATGATGTCTATTGGCTACAGAATACCTGTTTGGCTATAAGCTTTACTATCATCACGTCTTCAAGACATTACAATATAATATATAATAACTTTTAGTCGGATGCAACCCGAGAAGTTGGCGAAACGTCGTCGCCGGGGTGAGGGACTCAGGTTCGAGAACAATACGTGCCGTATTATAATGCGAGCTGAGAATTTTACAACTTCTCCAAGGGTTGTGAGCTTTTTTCACACGCTTTTGTTACTTTGTTTTCTTTCACAAATACGTAAATTAGAAATTAAAATGTTCCTATGGTATGTAGATATGGTGGGAGATGGATTCAAACCATCGATCTCTCAATGAGAAGCAAACGTTCTTCCAATGGACTATAACAGCTGTAACACTTTCAACAGTCCTACATAATAACAATGTGCCAGATAATCTCACCGGTTACCACGATCTCAAACTAGGGAATTCCCTGTACCATGACTACCAGAGCAACAAAATCAACTCGGAGACCCAGAACACGATGACCAAAATCAATTTATGAAAGTTATTTTACACACCAGCCCACATACCGTTAAACTCATCTTCCAGCAGAGCAGGCACATATTTATCAGCTTTATCAAACTAATCAATATAAAAAAACTAAGTCTAATTTGTTTGAATGATAAGTTAAATTACGTCAATCATAGGGTGAATTCTAACATTTCTCTATTGTGTACCGTAGACATGATGCACTAACACAGAATGTGTCTTGAAGCGAAGTATGTCATGCGACCTTGAACCCTGCGTATGTGCAGAAACACGGGACTCTACCGTCTCGAAATAGCATCACGTTCTCACAAGATAATCTCGTAATGGAAGAAAGCCAGTTTTACATTTCAAGGTCGCTTATTATTGCCAACTATACCGATATGAAATGTTCTTCTATACACTCACAATTGTATTTAATTATATTTTCTTTAAATACTCACTCTATCTTTATATCGTTGATATACCACCCGTTAGCTTTGCTTCCTCCTCTACATTCGCGGGCGGTTTGATAAATATGTGACAATAAGGTTCAATAAAAACTTTTTTCTGAATTTACTTTTATTTCTTAATTTAGATCGCCTTGCTAAGCACCTGGTGTTACTTTTTTAAAATTAAAGAAGAAAATTACATTTTTTTTAAATGGAGAAAACGGAACTTCGAGTATTCCGTTTCTCATCTGCAATCAGTAGGGCTAGCACGACAAGGCGCGATTTGCGCGAAAGCGAAATAAAGCGCGGAATCGTTATACATAGCATAGAATAGAATAGCAGTATCTCGCGCTTTATGTCGCTATCACGCAAGTCATTTGCGCCCTGTTTGTGCTAGCCCTACAGAATATCAAAACTTGTCGAATTATTACACCAACTTTAGCCGCACCTTCCGTATTCACCAGATTTGGCCCCATTAGACTTTTCTATCTGATTTTGTTACGATTTACATCAAATGAGGAAGAGAAACAGCTGAAACTGTGGCTTATTTTCCAGTTTGACAAAAACTAATTTTTTTATAGTTTCAAGAAGTTAGAATATAGCTGCTCAAAGTGTATAGAATCAAAAGAAGATTACGTAGAAAAATAAATCATAATTTAAAAATAAAATGTTTTATTTTCTTCTCAAAGTCACAGACTTATCAAACCGCCCTCGTATACGCACGCCACTGTATTCTCTTTGAAGTAGGCAGATCGATTGCCAATTTGGACCTCTCCGAACCTCCCTTACTACACTTACATTCATCTTCTCTTGCAAGCCTCTTATTTTCATATGCACTCCAACCTTTCAAAGAACATTCTCGATTTCACCTGAGAATGTCCTTCGTGGCCGTCCAACAATCTACCAATATTGCCTACGGTTGTGTCGGGGAATGTACTTTAATGCAGAACAATAATATTGTAACTTGCAGCGATTAATTAGTATACAAGTTGAAAATGAACGAAAATGATGTCGTCGTCTGCGTAGCGCCTAAGGGTCACTGCGAGTATAAAGCGTGCAACAACACAGAGGACGACAACACGTCCATATAAATACACGAAATGAGACCCGCCGCGGTCCCGACCCAACCCGCAATCACGCCCGACTCGTGCCCGACCCTCATCCGCTCTCTGTGTGTTTGACGCTTAAGCCTAGAGATTGTAAATTGAAACAACCAATACAATTCGTTCTTTAGCAAACAACAATGATCCGTTGTGGTTTTGCATAATTAATCTAAATACTTGAAAAGAGTAAGACTCACTGCTCTAATATCTTCATATATGCCATTAAGGTCGTCTTCTAGCAGGCGATAGGGGTCGACGATCTGTGTGCCGTAGTCGGGGAGCGAGCCGGTGCTGGTGCTTTGCAGGCTGGAGGCCAGCCGGCGCGAGAGCCCCGCGCCCACCGCCGCTGCGCTCGCACCCACGCCGCTTGAACCACATGCTGGACCGCATGACGATACTCTCTGCAAAAATAAAAAAATACTATAGAACCATCAACAAGACCGAGGATAACACACACTAAGTAAAACAGAATGTGTACGTGGGTCATTTCAAAGAAATTCTGGAGAAAGCGTCAGCAAAGAGAGAGAAGCCCTTAAATTAGGAGTTATTACTGCAAAAAGGTAATGCTAATGCAAAGGCCATATATAAATAGGATGCGAACACATTTCTCGGAGTCAGGGTCTACAGATCACAGAAAAAATATGGACAAGAGAATTATGTAGAGGGTCTCCACAATTTTTAATAGCAATAGACCTCCTTGTGAAAGAGTTCGTCCAGGGAACTACTGCCACCTTACCTATTTCTGCCGCCAAGCAGTAGCATTACTTGTACATTACAACGGTTTTGAAAGTTAAGAGAGCTGATGAAATTACAAGCATATGAGACGGGCTTAGTGGGAATGCCCCGCAGATCTTTGCAGATTAAAGCTCTGAGTGGCACTACAACTATTATGGACAGACTGTGGTACTTTCCACCAGGCGCGCGACTTGTTTGTCCCGTCACTTGGTATCATTAAAAAAAAATTAGGTTTTCTCACTCAATCACGGCGATTGAGAGTGAAACAGACAAACCAACTATCTGGGACGACTCTGCCCAATATTAGTTAGCTGCTTTGAACTCAGTGGGGAGAAAAGTATAGAGACTTATTAGTAACGACTCTCTTGAGGAGACGAAGCTACAAAATCTCGACTACCGCACAAAAATGGCCTGCTTGTCGGTTTTCTATTGAATACATTTCAGAGAGCACAACTTTTCAAATCAGTTTCATCTTTACCGCTCCTCCTTCTGTCGATTACGAAGAACACTCCATCTTTATGTCGTTGATATACCACTCATTCGCATGAAGCGCTCTGTTTCCTTCATCCTAATGCGTACGGCAAAGGACTGGACTACACTAAAGGCATCTGTGTTTCCGGAAAAGCACAATTTACAGGGCCATTCAAGTCTAGACTCACATCACATCATTGCTCAACAACAGGTAAGACTGTGGCCAGCGAGTATCTATTATTTATAAAAACAAAAATATGATTCGGTAACTTATCAAAACAACGTTGTACTCGTTTCAATGACCAACCTTCACAAATCACCAATAGTCAAAGGTCACTGGCGAAGCTTTTATTAAGAGACTGCATCTTGACCTTCGTGTCCCGCCAAGGGAAAAGGCACAAAGGTTGACCCTCAATACACAATAGATTATTTTATGCTATTAAATTCTGTGTTTTACCTCATACGGAAGACTAATTTCCGTACAATTTAGATTCAAACGTCAGTTAGCTATGAATTGACAGCACATAAATTAAAATATGTTTTTTGGTAAAAATAAGGCAGTTAAAAAAATCTCATTTGTGACAACATTTCAGAATAGCATGGTTTACATTAATAATAGACTAGACATAATTGGTAGTTGATTAATACCTTCTCAGCCATCCGTGACCATGGAATAATCCGGATCTAAATTACATATATTTTTTCAAATAATAAACCAAGAGTAAACAGAGTAGTGGTCTATTGCCACGCCGACCACCCGGGCTCCAGCTCCACCCAAATACTGCATTTCTAAATACATATCGCCACAATAACTTATTAACGCAATCCACACATGAAACAGCATGTTAGTGCAAATGAATAAGATGTTTCCCAGCTGGAATTAACAGCGAAATGAAATTTAAAAATTCATTGATGCCTTCTAAAGTACGAAGCTCTCATCATATACGATGTTAGTGCCTTACAACGAAATGAAGTAAAGTCACCATCTGTAAGCTAACTACTCGTCGAGATCAATTGAGTGCGCCCAAACACGATAGTTTTTCAATAAGTAGTTGAAGGGTTGGGTAGTCTACAGACTGTTCTGGTCACAGCATCAAATCATGATTATCATATTATAGCAATATCATCGGATTTGCATCG